ATCTGACAACCTGGAGATTTTTGCAGATCGTCATTAACCTCCCTTTGCCCCGTGTTTATTATTTAATGGCCTTTTACGACTTCCAGATGCTTGGTGATTGTGGGAGGTAGTGGGGTGGAGGGTGTTTTATTTATTTATTTTATCGATTCTTATTATTTAAAAAAAATATTGGCAGAATTATTTTTAATATCATTTTTTGGAAAAAGGCCTATATATACAACAGTGTAGAGTTTTGATGAGGGAATTCTTTTGGGCTGGATGGTGGTGGGAGTCAGGTTTTAGATAGGCATCCATGTGGGTAGCTTTCCTGTAGACAGAGTGTTCCAATGAGCCATCTGGTCTCTTTTAGATTAAAACATCCAAGAATGGTAACTTGCCATCCTTTTCCACCTCCATGATGAATTTGATGGCTGGGTGTATTGAATTAATGTTTGAAGAATTGGTTCAGTGCTGGCAGGGCATGTGGCCAGATGACAAACGTGTCATCTATGTATCTCTTCCACAAAAAAAGATGGATGCCTGGATGGGATCTGTCTCAAATTTTTCCATGAAAACATTGGCTACCACTGGAGATAAGGGAGAACCCATTGGGGTACCTTCAAAAGAAAGTTGTCTCTGGTGTGGACCAATCAGTTTCAAAAACAATGCATATATTATCAGAGTATGTTTTTGTTTGCATTCTGACCAGAAGTATTGTGGTTAATGCAGACATGATTCCTTGTAAAAGGTTTCAGTTTGGTGTTTTAATATCTTAACACATGTTTGTTGCCGGAAAAAAGGGGAAAACCTATTCTCATATTTTGATACTGGCAAAAGAGGTCCCATGATGTAAAGGAAATAGATGTGATTTTTTTAAAATGTAATGCTCAACATGCCATCCAGATTTATCTAGAGTTCCCTCGAGTGGAGACCTTTTTGCCAGGAGTGGTGTGATCAATCGATTGCAGGGTTTCAAGTTTAACTTTACAAAGATTTTAATGCTACTGTGGGGCCAGACATCTACTCCACCGCCCTCGCTAGGCAGGTGGGGCGCGACGTCCTCCCGTTCCACTCCCTCCACCACGTCGAGTGGCTCCCACTGGGCCCCCGCCGACCGAGTGATGGGTCCCCCAACGCTAGCGCCCTCTCTAAAGGACATACTTGTGCTGCTGGCTCATAGCCACACAGTTAGACCACACACCCGTGCATATCACAGCTATCGCTAACACGGGGGGGGGGGGGGGGGGGGGGGGGGGGGGGGTACGAACGCGCTCGCACCTGCGAGCAATTACCTCAACGTGCAGCTATCGCTAAAACAGGGGGCACGAACGTGCTCACACTTGCAAGGTATTACCTCTTAATGCGCGCACACGCCGCGGCCCCACGTTCACTCTCGCCGCACGTTCCCCCACGCAGTCGCTCCATACAGAAATCACAATAACCACACCTATGCTCTGTGCTAACTTTTATTCTCGGCGCAAACCCCGCACTACCCAGGGGGAAATGTTTTGCGAGAAGAGCCTAGCCTACTGCTGCTTAAGTCCCCAGATACTCAAACGCCCTACCACGTACCTCGTAGCCGTACGCGAAAGTCTACATGTTAAACTGTGTAGAGTTGTCCAAAACAAGTGGAGGAATTCGTTTCTTTTTACAGGTCAATGGAAAGCCAACATGTTTGATCTGCGCACAACAAATAAAGGTAGCAACAGTGGTCTGGACAAAGAGTTGTCAGGCACCAGGAAGCAAGCAGCCGCAGCACTAAGCGAGTAGCTAAACATTGTATTTATTAATGTGTTTTGACATTACGTGGGTTTTTTCGGTAAAGTCACGTTGAAGAGAAACAACAAAATAACAAAATATATATAAAACAATAAAAAATTCTCACGACGTTTCGACCATAACTCAAACGGTCATCATCAGGTGTGTCGGTTTGCATAAATTTATTTTGAAAACGGCATATTTATTTATTTATATATATATATAACGTTTGCGTCACGCGCAACGATTGGCTGTTTGCCAGGACTAGTCCATCTATTTTTTGAAAAGAGGAGGGGGGAGACGAAATTTGTTTTTATGTATGCTGTCTGAAAGCCACTGTAAGCGTGAACAATCAATCAAGAACTGAAATGATTTATCAAATCTTTCCAATGATTGCTAAGATAGAATCCATCTTCTCGGTTGAAATTGTCTCTGTGTTTGTATATGTGGATAGCCTCATGAACGAATCTCTCATGGAAGCCAGATGGCTTACAAAGAACCTCTGTCTTGGAAAAGTCAATGGCATGTGAGCCTACTGAATTAGAACAATGATCTGCTACGGCCGAGGTGTTGGTCCTACCGTGTTTAAGGTCTGCTTTATGTTCACGAATGCGGTCCGAGATATGGCGTTTGGTTTCTCCAATGTAACTACTACCACAGAGGCAACTTAGTTTGTAGACACCAGGGTATTGTATGTCCGGAATCACATCTTTTACAGACGGAACCAGATCACGGATTTTATGTAATGTGTTGAAACGGACCTGGATCTTGTGTTTATTCAAGATTTTGGAGATCTTTTTTGTGATCCCAGCAATGTAGGGTAAAGTGATGGTTTTGAAAGGCTCCTCAAGAGGGTTCTTCTTCATGGTTTGAGTGATAGCTTTGCGGATTGTATAGTCGGAGTAACCATTAGCCCTAAGAGCTTGGTGTACGTGCTACAATACCATACAATACCCTGGTGTCTACAAACTAAGTTGCCTCTGTGGTAGTAGTTACATTGGAGAAACCAAACGCCATATCTCGGACCGCATTCGTGAACATAAAGCAGACCTTAAACACGGTAGGACCAACACCTCGGCCGTAGCAGATCATTGTTCTAATTCAGTAGGCTCACATGCCATTGACTTTTCCAAGACAGAGGTTCTTTGTAAGCCATCTGGCTTCCATGAGAGATTCGTTCATGAGGCTATCCACATATACAAACACAGAGACAATTTCAACCGAGAAGATGGATTCTATCTTAGCAATCATTGGAAAGATTTGATAAATCATTTCAGTTCTTGATTGATTGTTCACGCTTACAGTGGCTTTCAGACAGCATACATAAAAACAAATTTCGTCTCCCCCCTCCTCTTTTCAAAAAATAGATGGACTAGTCCTGGCAAACAGCCAATCGTTGCGCGTGACGCAAACGTTATTTATATATATATAAATAAATATGCCGTTTTCAAAATAAATTTATGCAAACCGACACACCTGATGATGACCGTTTGAGTTATGGTCGAAACGTCGTGAGAATTTTTTTATTGTTTTATATATATTTTGTTATTTTGTTGTTTCTCTTCAACGTGACTTTACCGAAAAAACTAAGAATATGAATTACTGCAGTCACGAAAGCTTTAAATCAAAATTACGTGGGTTGTTGACGCGAATTTTACGACAATTTATACAGCCTTTGTTTGATAAATTAATACCTTGTTATTATTTTATACGCCTGATGGTGTTGCCTGCGAGGATGCGCATTCGAATCCAAACCACCCCGCTGTCTCATTGAGTTTGACACCCCTGCGCTAGGATCCATGTGTAGTGGGTTGTATGGATACAGAGTCCTCCTAGGAGGCAACACGTTTTTATTTAATAATAACGGCAACACACGAGGTCCCTAACACGAAGGGGTAACGGCCCCTTACACCCGATGACCTAAGGAGGTATAGCCTCGGGGCTAACGTGCCTTAGTCACTGGGACCACATATCTTAGCCCTCCGGCTAATGGGACCTAGGGGAGGCTGAACCAACCTAGCCAAGGTCCTCGGGTCCCAACCACTGGCCAACTCAGACCTAGCCCTGATAAGGATATCGAGTCCATGGATCTTCAGGGCCCTATTCCTGAGGTGAGCTCTTCGGTCTTCGGCTTGACGCTGACTGGCGGACCCGCTTAGGGGTCCGTCTTTTATGGGGCTCCCAGGGTCACTCCGCCCCTGGCCACGCCCACTCTCTGGAACTTTCTGGAGGAACCTAGATTGTTGCATAATCCCCCAGCCCCCACTGGGGGCCTGGGGTGTCCACCTCCGGTTCACAACTGCCCTCCGGGTTGCCTGACCCAACAGTCCTACTTGGTACAGGACGGACCCGCTATTGCCCCCTGTTGGCCCATGGCTGGAGCTACAGTAGTGACGGCGTATTACACCTAACAATCACTCACCACACATGCAGTCTAAAGTGAGTGAGTAACTGATGGGCTGTATCAACATCGGCAGAGGAAAAAACTAAAGGTGGCAGCGAGTGTCGTTTGCCACTCCATCCCCTTCTAAGTTACGCCGTGCCGGCCTTCATAGCTGCTCAGGTTACAGAAACTGCCCCAGCATTCTGTTAAATACTACATTGGGGATCTGTGGGTGTTTTTGCCTTTCGGCACAGACCCCCAAGTACTCTGTATAGAATGCAACACTGTTAAATATGTCACTCCTCTGTGGCAGTTTAGCAGTAAACCGCAACATGGATGTCAAAACTACGAGTAACAAACAATTTCGATAAAAAAAATCCAAGGCACAGTTTAAGGGTTGTCTCTTCATGATACGAGGTTGGGGGTATTCAGACCCAGACTCAGTGTACGTGAAGTTTACGTCAAAAGAACTGAGTTATTTTCATTTGTGCTTTTCAACAACTTCATTAGAAGCAAGGGACACTGATACAGGGAGGCTATGAACCATTACAAATTATCCAGTACTGTGTTCCTCTGAACTAGATTCCGATTCCATTTCTCCACTCAGCATCTTAGGAAGCTCCAATGAGTGGATCGCCAAACGAGACTTCCCACTCTCAGCTTCTCCCATCGTGCGATTGGACAGTGAATACAAACATACTTAATGAATAACGGTAACCAATAGTTAACAAGTTGCTAAAGAAACTATTTTATACAAGCACAGCCATATTAACATTTAAAGTGACAGGGGCATGTTAAAATGAGGTATGCAGAGAGATGTTACAGACACATATTTGTATGAGGTGTGTTAGGGTGAGGCGTTTTGAGATCCAGGCATTCGTGCCCTTTCACAAGTCAGCACATTCCAGGGCACACCTCAATATATTCAAATAAAACTGAAAAAATGTGTAATTCCCCTACTTCATATTTACATCGCTTGTTCCTGGTTAAGCGTCTGAGCCACAGCGAGTGACTGCCAAAGCTACAGCCCTTTGCCCATCTCTGAGTGAAGGCACGGTCTATGATGGCGAGCGCGGCTCCCAGTGACAGTGAGGCTCCAGGGGAGTTGATCTGCCTCATCTGCAGGGAGATTGATACATCATCCTGCTGCCCGAAGTGCCGAGTGACCTTTCCTCAGAGGCCCCAGCTGAAGGACGTCGCGATCGCCAAGCTGGCGGAGGAGTGTTGTGCCGGAGGGACGATGGCCACGATGGTCTGGTGTAACTTCTGCAGTGATGGCACAACCGCTGCCACAAACACCTGCTTTAAGTGTAAGCTGTCCTATTGTGCTGCTCATATCCTGCCTGATCTGGGTAGACTCAGCATCAATGACCACATTGTGGTGCATCCAGGAAGGAGTTCTCAAGAACGAAAGTGCAAGGAGCAAAGAAAGGAGCTCGAACTTTTCCGCAAACAGGACAAGAAATTGGTCTGCAGAACCTGCACCACGACAGGAGACCACAGGGGTCACAATGTGGCTACACAGGATGAGCGTGAACCACCGAAGGTGAGGCAGTCTACGTGTGAGCGGGAGCCTCTCCTGTTTAAAGTAATAATTTCCCAACACAAACTGAACAACAACATCCGACTAAATACAATATAATTATCTCTCATCCAGCTGACCAGTGTGCCTTCTCATTTTTACTTTTGTTTGTTTATAAATGTAAAGTATGTGGAGGTTCATATTCTTGGTTCGTTCGGTAAAGTCACGTAGGAGGGAAACAAAATAATTTAAAAAAAACGCCACTTTTTTCAAATTTTCTTGCTGTGGATTTCACACCTGATGATGAATGCTTGTGTTGCAGTCGAAACGTCGTGAGAATTTTATTGTTTTATATTTTTATTATTGTATTGTTTCCCTTCTACGTGACTTTACCGAAAGAACCAAGAATATGAATCCCTGCAGTCATGAAAGCTTTAAATCAAAATTTATGTGGAGGTTGTTAGAGTGAAGAAATACATACAATTTCAATTTCAGTATCATAATATGTAAGATGTGTAGTGTTCTAAACTCGAGACACTAGTTGGAGGTACTCTCTCTCTTTATTTACGGCCTCAGCCTTCGGGGATAACTCCATACCGGGTCGGGACAGCCAGCATGCTGTCAGACCCACGGCTTGCAGAGTGGCGAAGATCACAACAATGATAGCAGAACCAGTTCCATTCCCCATCGCAGCAGCCCTGACTGTGAGTTGTAGCTCGTCTTATATCCTGAACAGCGTGGCCAGGCTCTGCCCTCGACCCCGCACCCCTATGGATCCCCCAGATTGCTCCGTGCCTTGCCCACAGGTGCAACTGATAGAACGGGCTGTTACCCCTAATTCTGTCTACCAATCTCCCAGCAGCAAGCACTCCGATGACTCACTCCACATCACTACATAACCCGCCCACCCCATGCAAAAAAAACCCAGCCGTCTCGGCTGACCCGCAATACGTCGCGCGGTGAGATGACGAACACCACAATATCCACGCAACACTTAGAAATGCATGGCAACAATCCAGCCCCCAAATTAAGCAAACCAATGACGAGTAGGGGTGGTCATCTGAACTGAACCATCTTGGAATGGGTCCTTATCGCCGGTCCATCGTATGAACCTGGCATGGGTCCCCCAGGGACCACGGGGGTGACTCGCAGCTGGCCCAACGGGCACAGTCTCTCCCGGGACAAAGATGGAGGAGAGGAAGAAGCGGGTGGCGGTTTTACCGTCCACCCCGGTCCGCCTGTGGGCAGCTCCACCGGCGGTTCCATGGGCGTCATGCCCTGGGATCTGCGGATGGAGGAACAGAGTCTCACAGAGGCGCAACCTCTGTACGTCCATCCCCGTCGGACACATCACACACCTGGCCATCAGATGGTGGAGATTAATTTATCTCATAAGGTTGAAAATATGTTTCCAGTCGTGACGGGTGCACATACCAACGCCTGCGACCAACCTGGATCCGTATGCACTGCGGCCTCCTAACCTCAATTACCTCCACCAGGCCCTGCAATGGCCTAAGCAATTTAGGAGATGTGCCCACGGGCACCTGGGGGCAATGCAGCCATGCCCTCTCCCCAGGTTTCCACGATTTCCCTGATTCCTTAAGCCCGGCCAATTTGTAAGTTGCAGCCTGCCGTTTGGCCGTATTTCCCGAGACGCCTCCTGTGCTTCTGTCAACTGCTTTAGGGTAAGGGTCATCAGTCCCAGCACAGCGACTCTCATTTTGCTTGGCTGAATATTTAACGAAGCTTCCATGGGGGTTGCATTCTCTCCCATACATGCAACAAATGGGAAGAATCTAGTAGAGGCATCAGGGGCCATCCTATAGACCGCAAGAACTCCCAGAACGTGTAGGTCCCAATCGGACTGTGCCTCATTGACTTGTTGGCACAACATGGACGTAAGTGTCCTATGTAAATGCTCTACCATCTCGTCAGTCTGGGGATGGTAGGGTGAGGTTCGAATTTTCTTTGTACCCAACAAATCAAATTCTTCTTACAATAGCTTTGAAGAAAAATGTCGGTCCTGGTCTGTAAGGAGACATTCTGAGGCCCAATTATCTAATACATAACCATGCAGGAACGCGTCCGTAATGGACGCTGCCAACTGATCCGGTAGGGGCCATGCCACCGGCCACCGTGACAGGTACTCCACCCCTACCAACAATAATTTATTTCCCCTCTGAGTGGTAGGAAATGGCCCGAGGATGTCGATGGCTACGACCTCGTTTACACGGGACACCCCAATGGACTGCAGCGGTGGTTGGGTCAGTCTCGACGGGGGCTTCCGGCGGGCAAATTCTACACAACCCTTGAGGACGTTGTAAACATCCTCTGCCATCCCACGCCAAAAGAAGTCCCACTTCAACGGATATGCGTCCACCACGGAGACCTTATTCAATTTCCGAAAGTCCACACAGAACCACAAACTCCCATCCTTTTTAACTAGGACAATAGGAGCACCCCACGGAATACTTGACGGGGAGATTATATTGGTGGTCTACATCTCCTCGACCACCTGATGAACATAGGCCTTTTCCTTCAGACTAAACCAAAATTAGTTCTGACGAATGGGAGCAGCACCACCCGTATCAATATGGTGACGCATCAGGGACGTGCGGCCCACATCGAATTTACCCTTACTAAATACATCAGAGAATTCCCGAAGAAATGCCCGCAACTCGCCCCTCTGCTCCCATGACAAATCTGGATTACCCAGGCACAACGGATCCATCCACGAGTCATCCAACACCGCTTCCCGTTCAACTGCAGCCACGACCCGAGCAGTCACATGATCCATATTCCCACAACATGCAGCCGTCGCGTGGGCCAAAACCGTACCAGCCTGTATGACCGCGGTATCCAGCCCAGCATTTAATACTTGCAGGAAGGGCTCCTGATCCTTCCTCACTATAGTCTGCGCCCCTATCAAAGTGAGCCCATGAACTGCTCTATTTGAAGGGGTTAAAAGAATCCCACCCCCAGTGATTTTCTGGTCGAGCCGCTTCCGCAGCCTCAAGGGTACAAGCGTCTGTGCACCCAAGGGAACTCTAGCAGTTTCATGCACCAGGGCCTGAACCACAACGTTAGCCATACACAACCCACCTCAACCGATGCCCCAACGGTAACTCCACACAACCCTGGTCAACTAAAATCCGGAGGGTCATCCTCTTTAAAAAAATCCGTCCCCGATAAACAAGGCACCACCAAGGAACGTGAAACCAACACCGGGCCCGTCCTTTCAATATAGCCAATCCGTATCGATGCCTTAATTTGGCCCACAATGCCATTAGCGGCAACATACGGATTGCGCGTGCTGAGTGCCCACAGCCCTTCTCCAGCCGTCGGTGGCATGGGATTGTCGTCCTTCACCTGCTGCCCTGCCAGGACCGCCACTCCGTGACCCCCCACCGGGGTCCTGGCCACCGAGGCCACCCGGGAACCCTCATCATTCGAGGACATACTGACGCAGGCCCTCTTCTTCGCGGATTTCGACATCCTACTCCCCCTCACTGAGGTTTTGAAAGGAAAAAAAGAAAATTGCTAACAACCCTACAATATATAAAAAAATATTTTTTCGTTGACACTTCTGACACCAAATGTAGTGTTCTAAACTTGAGACACTAGTACGCTCTCTCTTTACTTCCGGCCTTCACAGCCTTCGGAGATAACTCCATACTGGGTCGGGACAGCCAGCATGCTGCCACGGCTTGCAGAGTGGAGGAGATCACGATGACGACAGCATGACCAGTTCTGTTCTCCATCGCAGCAGCCCGGACTGTGAGTTGCAGCTCGCCTTATATCCTGAACAGCGTGGCCAGTCTCCGCCCTTGGCTCTACAGCCCTCTGGATTCCCCAGATTGCTCCGTATCTTGCTCACAGGTGCAACTGGTAGAACGGGCTGTTACCCCTAATTATTTTGTCTACCAATCTCCCAGCGGCACGACAGATGTATAAGTGTGATATTAGTATTTTTGAAAATAACATGACTATATAGACATTGGTTCATATATAAAACACTAGCTTCATTACCCGACTTCGCCCGGGACTTGGATTCTTGTCTTGGATTAATTTCATATTCCCTTATATTTCACTGAAAAACCCTGAGGAAATTTTATTCTTGTAAGAAAGAAAAAAGCCTAAACAAATCAATTTACCTAAATCGGATGTTTTCACTCAAGGAAATTCAACCTTAACCCACTTCTACGTAAGGTCGATTTTGGCCACTCGGGAAGGAATGACTTGGCGAGCTGAAAATAGTCGCGTTCACTTAGAAATTCCAGACAGCATAAGCTGAAAAAATTTCATGACGCCAGAGCTCAGCGTTGGAGAGTTTTTGCTGCTTCACACAAACAAACAGATGTAATTTCTGCTTCATATTTAAGATAGCAGTTGTACCCGTTCTTCGCACGGATATGTATTGAAACTCCGAGAAGCCAATGGCTTCATCGGCCAGGAGCGAAGCGCCACCTAAAATCTCTCGGCACGCTGTTAACAGCTCTAAGCATTGCAGACCGCTTAACTCAGGTGTGTTGCAGGTTGACGCCACACACTTCATTGTCATCCCCCCCCCCACCAAAATACAAAAGTCTATTTTTATACTTTTTTTCATTGTGAACAGTATGGAACCTACCCACATGCCACATTTCAAGTGTGTAGCATGTTGGCAAGTATGCTAAACATTTAGAACATACACACGTATCTACATTTCCCTTTTATATATATAGACTAGCGGTAAGTACCCGGCGTTGCCCAGGCGACAAAGGCAGACACACACATGGACTTACACACAGACATCGACCCATACACATAGAAACACATCGACTTAGATGCACACACACATATGGACTTACAGTGAGGGAAAAAAGTATTTGATCCCATGCTGATTTTGTACGTTTGCTCACTGACAAAGAAATGATCAGTCTATATTTTTAATGGTAGGTTTATTTGAACAGTGAGAGACAGAATAGCAACAAATAAATCCAGAAAAACGCATGGCAAAAATGTTATAAATTGATTTGCATTTT